CCATCCAAGTTTACAGTCCTCATGATTACCACCTCAAGGTTGAGAATTCTACCTGTACACATTCTGGTAAGGCCTTTTCCAGATTAAGTCAGATTAGACAAGGATATCGACGGAAAGTGTTCAAAATGCTGATGTAATCTGTTGTTTACCGTGTGGGGTAAGACATATTAAAAATATTACATCTCTGGTCAATATAGCACTTATGATTATTATTATTTTTTTTCTTCTTTACAATGGATGAAGCCATTAAAGTTACAGAATTCATCATCATCATCATCATCATCATCATCATCATCATCATCATCATCATTTTTCACATTATCAGTATGTTATCATCATCATCAAAATCATTTTCATTGCACGCCGTGTGAGTTCCGGGGGCCTATTAAAGCGAAAACAAAAATAGACCCACTGCCTACTCAAAAGCATGTCGTAAGCGTCGACTAATTGGGACCTTCATTCAAAGTCGGAGTCCATTTGCCTGAGAGGCAAGGAACCAACAGTCTGCATATAAATTAGTCAGATCTGTCAAATAGATGCACACACAACAGTCAGGTTCTGGAACAGGACTGCAGTCCAGAAGTGGACGAACAATCAGAATTTCCGCCGGATTTTGCAGCCGGTGTATGTGAAGAAGAAAGAAGAAGAAGAAGAAGAAGAAGAAGAAGAAGAAGAAGAAGAAGAAGAAGAAGAAGAAGAAGAAGAAGAAGAAGAAGAAGAAGAAGAAGAAAAAGAAGAAGAAGAAGAAGAAGAAGAAAAAGAAGAAGAAGAAGAAGAAGAAGAATTTCATTACCAGTATACCTCTCCACATTCTAATGATACAGCTTACCAACAGTATGCTGACACCGCCTTCATCATCATAATAATCATAATCATCATCATCGTCATTTCCATCATCATCATCCTCACAGTCAACACATTCTCATCAGCATGGACATCATCATCATCGTCATCATCATCATTATCATCATCACCATCATCATCATCATCATCGTCATCTCCATCACCATCATCATCATCATCATCGTCATTTCCATCATCATCATCACCATCATCATCACCATCATCATCATCATCATCATCATCATCATCATCATCATCGTCATCTCCATCACCATCATCAGCAGCATGAACATCATCATCACAGTCATCACAATCATCATCATCAACATCATCATCATCATCGCCATCACGTAAGTAAAGTCATCACTGTCAGTCAATGTCACCACTTCCATCAGTATCATCATCAGTCAGCGTTACTTTTTTGTGCATTATCATCTCTACGATGGTCATCATTACCGTCCATCTTCCTCACCGTCATCACCACCAGCAACAACATCATGGTCTTCTTCACTGCATTTATCATCTTTTCAAAAATGATAATCACATTTGTATGTTAACCATTCCTTCTAGAATGAGCCCGGACGAACCAGGCTGTTTTTATAAGAAGACTGAGCAGCAAAGGAAATGCCTAATGTGCTGTGACGTCAATAGCAGGCGCGCCAACATAAAGAAAGCATGGGGGGGGGGGGGGGGGGGAATGTTTAGCCCACTTATAAACTATTAGGAAGTAGGGCCACAGGGGCTCAAGTATTGCTTAAGTGGGCTATTATAATAATAATGTTTATGTATGTACTGTATTATAATTCTTCCTCTTCTTCTTTCGTTTGCTTGAAGAAAGATTATCTATATCTGCACTGTTGTCTCTAGTATGAACTTCACTGTCTTTTGTAATTCACTCAGCGACCAGTAAAGTTTGACTTGCACCGATGTTTCTCTTGGCCAAAAGTTTTGCCTTGATATGTTGTATTTGGGACAGTCTTGGAAGACATGATCTGTTGTCTCAGGTGCAATCCACATGTGCACATGGCTGATTCGGCGATTTTAAATTGTGTGTACATGTGGCTGCGAAGTCGATAGTATTATAATACAATTTCAAGTCATTTGTAATGTGTGAACAAATCCAAAAAATTGAACGTCTGAATATTGAAAACATGGGAGCTTTTTTCAGGGGGAGGGGGTAAGGGGGAGGGGATTGGGCTGGACTAAACATGCTTGCAATGTTTTTAGGCTCAGTGGCTCCTCGAACCATCTAAGTAGAACTCCCGCCTTTAAGTAAAGTAAAGTAAAAGTAAAAATTCCTTTTTACGCCATAAGGCGCTTCGGGCATAAGGGAAGAGTACCCATATTTTTACCGACCAATCGGCACTAGGTGGGTAATGTGGTCAGCATAAAAGCGTGAAAATTGATCTTTATTATTTTTTTTTTTTTTAATGTAACAACGGGAAACGACATAGCAGAGATAAAGACCTTTTACATTGCATGCTGCTGTGGCTATCTCTCCGTCTTTCCAGAAGATGGGATTATGTGTGGTACTACAAGGAGGCACGACGCCTGTGCCTAGTAGGACCTGGTTACGTTAAGAAAATTCTTCCACAATGATAGCCTGAGAATTCAGTACCGTTGAGGCCAAAATTTCTGTTTAGCCAGGAAAGCTAACACGGTTAACGAATGCCAACAGATGTCTGATGTGTTGACAGAAAGGTGAAAAGATCGCAGCCATGCTGTCAACGGGCATAACGTAAATACATCTTCGGATGAACGCAGAAGAAGAAGAAGAAGATTTGTGTTCAGGGTACTTCTTCTCAGATATTCAGCTCTCATTCTTTCTGCAGTAATTTCTTTCTTCATTCTAATTCCCTTTCCATATTTGCCTCCTTCACGCAACACGGACTTAATATACCATATATATATATATATATATATATATATATATATATATATATATATATATATATATATATATATATATATATATATATATATATATCGTGTATGTGGTTATCATCATCATCATCATGTAGCAGGACCTTTGCAGAACGTCGCTCTCATCAGTCTGCCTGAAAGAATCTTGGTCTCTCGGGAGTTCTCCCGCCTCATGAACTTTCACACTCAAAGAGTCACTTATATCCGGTGCCCATCATCGTGCCCATCCTGTGCCCATCTTCCTTCCTGGTACCATGCCATCTGCTATAATTGTTATGTGATATGTATGTGGTGATGTAGGTTGCAAATATAAATCAACTAAATTAAATGACACTAACTTTGATTTTAATTGCAACTATAATAATACATCAGTGTAAATTATAATACAACCTGTCAGTTCTAACCAGTCATACAGGTCATTAAGAAGTAGGTTTACAAGTACGTTTGAACAAGGGATCAAAATCATACACAGGGGTACTAACCCATAAGTGCTCCGTTCTATTTCTAACTCAAGACCAAGTCCGAAGAATCTCAGCACAGTGTACGAACTTCGTAACACCGGCGAGTATCCTAAACTACTTGCAATTGTATTTTAACGGGATTACAACTTGCCATTTCTATCGTACCTTATTAAAACTTGCCATCTTATGATGACTTTTAAAGTACTTGCTATCGTTATTGTATTCCTTTGTCACTTTCAGTCGTACTGAAGTTGTTATAATACTTGATTTCATGATTTAATTTATAATACTTGCAATCATTTACTTTGCAACTTTTACAATATTTTATATCATTGTCACAATTTATAAAATTTACAAGCTTATTGTAAGTGTTAGAAAACTTGTCATCGCTATCGTAAACTATAATACTTGCATTCTTATCGTAAATGTTAAAATAATTAATTTCTATATTGTTATTTATATCGCTAGGAATCTGTTCGCCACATTTATAAATGGTAACATATTTATCAGTGTTATTGACACTGTTGCGGCACTTAATATCTTCATTACGGTTGATAACTATTTCGTTTTTATTGTAACTTTCACAATACCTGTTTTAATACGTGCAATCTTAACGTAGCTGTTACAATACGTGTCATCTCTATTGTAAATTAGAAAACGTGCAATCCTATTGTAACTGTTATAATACGTGTCATCTCTATTGCGTATTAAAAAACGTGCAATTTTATTGTAACTGTTATAATACGTGTCATCTCTATTGCGAATTAAAAAACGTGCAATTTTATTGTAACTGTTACAATACGTATCATCTCTATTGCGAATTAAAAAACGTGCAATCTTATTGTAACTGTTACAATACGTATCATCTCTATTGCGAATTAAAAAACGTGCAATTTTATTGTAACTGTTACAATGCGTATCATCTCTATTGCGAATTAAAAAACGTGCAATTTTATTGTAACTGTTACAATGCGTATCATCTCTATTGCGAATTAAAAAACGTGCAATTTTATTGTAACTGTTACAGTGCGTATCATCTCTATTGCGAATTAAAAAACGTGATTTTATTGTAACTGTTAAATACGTATCATCTCTATTGCGAATTAAAAAACGTGCAATCTTATTGTAACTGTTACAATACGTATCATCTCTATTGCGAATTAAAAAACGTGCAATTTTATTGTAACTGTTACAATGCGTATCATCTCTATTGCGAATTAAAAAACGTGCAATTTTATGGTAACTGTTACAATGCGTATCATCTCTATTGCGAATTAAAAAACGTGTAATTTTATTGTAACTGTTACAGTGCGTATCATCTCTATTGCGAATTAAAAAACGTGCAATTTTATTGTAACTATTACAATGCGTATCATCTCTATTGTAAATTAAGAAAGGTGCACTCTTTTTGTATCTGTTATATAATGTGTCATCTCTATTGCAAATTAAAATAGGTGTAATCTTATTGTAACTGCTGAAATATTTGCATTCTGTATCGCAGTTTATAATCCGTTCAATCTTATTGTCACTGTTACAATACTTGCTCTCTTTACTGTAACATATAACACTTGCAATAATATTATATCTTGTACACTTCTTGCTATCTTCGCTGTAATTAATAGTACTTGCACTCTTGTAACTGTTATAATGCTTGCCATCTTTGCTGTAGCAAGTAGTATTTCCAATCTGTTTGTAATTGTTACGAAACGGGATCCCATTACTATAATTCGTATTACTTTCATTTTTTTATATATATTGTAAGGCATGAGTCAGTCATTGTTCATCCATATTTTTTACGATCATTTCCTTTTTAATTCCTATACTTGTTATAATACGTTTTTTCATGCGTGTTACTTTTTCACTTGCTTGAAGTACGAATTGTCCGCCATGACTCCGACCGCCATCGACTTTGAGGAGTTCACCAGTAATGAATCCAGCGGCGTCAGAAGCTAAAAACAGCGCTGCTTGTGCAAAGTCCCCAACAGTTCCGACTCTTCCACGAAGTACAGCTTTGTCAGCTTCTAACGCAACAATAGAGCTATTAACCTTTTCCAGGTCATCGCCAAAGTGTCGTAGAACCCGAGTCGGGAAAAATCCAGGATTGACTGAATTCACACGGACGCCTTTGGCTCCCAGATCAACGGCTAAGCACTTCGTCAGATGATCAAGGGCTACTTTTGATAGTAAGGATACGGTGACCGCTGGAATAGCCATATTTGTATTGGCTGAAGATACGATTAATTATGGTCCCCTTGGTCTTCTCCAGATAGGGTACGGCTTCTTGAATGAGAAAAAACACAGACTTCAAGTTCGTGTCCATGATATCAGCGTAAACGTCTTCCGTGGTAGTTGAAATTGATTGGTTAGGATGAATAACACCAGCGCTGGGTACAAGAATGTCCAAACGTCCAAACTTCTCCACAGTTTTCTCAACGATCTCCTTACGAACGTTCTTATCATTCAAGTCCCCTTGTACAGTCAGATACCGGTCTTCGTGTCCTCCATTGGCCTTCACAACTTTCTCTAACACGGATCTAAGTCTTTCCTCATTCCGACCACAGAGAGTCACTTTCGCGCCCCGAGACGCGAACAAAACAGCAACTTCTTCTCCTAAGCCAGAACTGGAGCCAGTAACAACGGCAACTTTCCCGTTAAGTTGAAGCGCCATAGTGCTTCAAAAGAGTGCATCCAAACTGTGTAGTATCAGCAGATGACTGATAAATGAACATATTTTTTCGACAGTTATACTATTCACGTAACCTTGAACAGTCCGTGCTTATAAAGACAAAGATAACACACGATTCCCAAATCTTTTAACATAGACACTTTTGTATGACATGGTTCGAAACAAAGAAAGTAAAATTATGCAGCTGTTTTGCACGCACTGAAATTCACTATAGTGTCTGTTTCATATTTGAATCTGTTTTTGGGTAATGGATTCAGTTTATCTTCTTTACTTCGCATAATATTTAACAGTGTTTAGTTTATACTGGTTAGATCAGTTTTACCTCTAAGCCATATCTTGAGCTCGACACTGACATCTAAAACTGACAGGGACTTTCCCTATCCCCTACTGTGTGTAAAAAATTTTGTCCTTTCAAGCTTTTATTTACATATTTATTATTTTATATCAATCCAAGAAAGGCGTCTCCGTTGCGTAGCGGCGGCTAGACGCTCGCTTGGGGTTCGGAAGGTCGTGGGTTCGCTCCCTGGAGGAGCCGAACTTTTTTCAAAAATGACATTGGCTCCCAGGTAGACCCAGCCTAGAGTGGGTACCAGGTGTAGTCCTGGGAGGGAAAGGTGGCTGGAGTGATTCTGACAACATCACCCATCTTGTGTCGTTGGTCTATGAAATATAGGTCTAGCCCTATATACCCAATACGCCTGAAAGGTGTGGAAAATGGTCCTTCTACTTTACTTTTAATCAAAGGAAGAGGCGTAAACAAGTGTGATACATTCTAAGGGTGGTTAAACGTTGATTTCTTTATGACGCACAATTTGCATTTTCAGGACAATTCCAGGTCTGGTCGAGAAAACAGGTAAGTAGAAGTCCCTTTTCCACGCCTTTAGGAGGCGGGTGATATTTGCAGCAATGAAACCTCAAGGGCTCAGAATGCTGAAGAAGGAGAAGAAGAATAAGACATTACTGCACTTGAGGAAAAACCCATACGAGCTTCGTCTCTTTCCTCGTTAACCAAAGGAGGAGTCAGCTTGCTTAAAGTACCAGTTGCAACCTGTTTCCCCCTCAGTGTTAAAGATTTTCCAGAACTTTTACGCGTGTCCCATTGATCTAGTCTTTCAATGTACGGATTCTCCTCTGTCGAACTGCACTGTCTTTTTGATCACAGAGAACCTTCACCATGCCTTTTTTATTATAATGTAGCTCTCCGGCCAGCGAAGCAGCAGCAGCCTGCACACCCGAATTCCCCCCCCCCCCTCTCACAGCTGAACAGAGAGAGAGAGACTACGATATAGACGATAGTGCAGAGAGAGAGAGAGACAGAGAGAGAGACTGCGATATAGATGATAGTGCAGAGAGAGAGAGAGAGAGAGAAAGAGAGAGCAGGAGAAAGAGAGATAAAGAGAGAGACACACCCGAATTGCCTCCCCCAGCTGAACAGAGAGAGAGAGAGAAAGAGAGAGAGAGAAAGAGAAAGAAAGAGAGAGAAAGAAAGAGAGAGAGAAAGAGAAGGAGAGAGACTACGATACAGACGATAGGGATGTTGATAATATACAATATTACACAACATAAACAGCAGTTATCAACCGTTGGGTACTGTAAACTTTGACCTACAGGAGCTGAGATAAAGTAAATGTCACACGTAGTTATCAGCAGTACACAGCATGTGAAACGCGTGTAAGGGGTTTTCATGGGCTTGGCACTGCAGCCAGGAATGTTGAGATTGGCTAGCGTTTCTCCGGAGGGGTGAAATGTGAAATTTAAGTAGCCTGCCAACGACCCGTAGAGCACCCAGATTAACTCCACATCCTTGGAGTCACGCCGGAAAACTGAAGCCGCGAGGTTTCAGGCTAACGGGGCAATGGTTCGTCTGGAAGGAGACAAGCACCAACCAGGTGAGATTTTCTTTCTTGCCCTGCAACGCCACGGACCTAGCAGCTTGGTCGTAGTAAATTAAATGGTACTACACAAGTAATAACGAATTATTGCAGGACAGACTAACATAATTTACAATACCAGATTGACTCCTTACATCAAACCTAACTGCTGAAAGTATGGTTTGTGAATAAACACAGCGAAAACTGAGGTAATGAGGATGGACAAGAAACATAATATCGTGAACGTGCATGTTAACGGTACAAAATCAAACAAGTACGAGAATGTAAATATCTTAGAAGCATATTTACGGAGGATGACAGACTCGACAGAGAGATAGAAGCCAGAGTACAGACAGGCAAATGCTGCCACCTACCAGTTTGCCACACTGCTTAGACATTCAAATGTCTCCCTTCTACCAAAACAGCAAACGATTAATAGCATCTTTATCCATACTTTATGCTGTCAGTGCGAAACATGGACAATGAACAGGACACTAGAAGAGAAAATAGCTACATGTGAGATTCCTGGCATTGTTGACACTTTGGTCAGAACACTGGCTGACGAAAACACAGATGAAGATGATGCTGTAGTTTACACAGATGGATGAGTATTTATGGGCAAGCAAAGTGCATGGGCCTTCTCAGTAAACCCAAGGGGGAAAACCATCAAGGAGATGAATGGCGCCTTTACTGTTACAACTAGTAGCCTTACAATAGAAACTATGGCTGTAACAAAGGCATTAGCATGGCTTGGTACTCAACAGTTCACACACGTATGCATTCTTTGTGACTCGATAAATGTGTTTAAAAAATTCCTAGCTGGATTTATCAGGCAAGAATGGATTGAAGCACTAAGCACTTCACGAATATCTGCCCTAACCTTCATCTTTGTACCAGGTCATGCGGGTGTTCAAGGGAACGAGCGTGCAGACTATCTTGCTGACACTGCAGTTGATATGGCTGGCCCAGTACTGGACAGAAGAGATGTTATCAATGTCATGCGCTGCACTTACCGTACCGAGGAGCACGCCAAAGAACATGACTCCGTATCTCTGTCTAGACTGATGGACATGGGGGCGCAGCCTGGAGCTGCAAGAAATAAACATTTCACTAAGAGGACGAGACGTTTCATTAACCAACAAAGAACAGACGTCATAAGTCGTTTTACACTTGTGGAGCTTTTGAGGAGGAGATCGGAGCACCTATGGATCTGTCTGGAGTGCTGTGATGATAATCCTTTCTAACCACTAATCACTACTAGCTACATGTCTACACAAAATCACTAACAACACAAGACAAGACGGGGTAACGAATACCAGCATTAGATAAAAAGCTGGAATAGGACCATGTCTGGATTATACTGACAAACACAAAATATGGAATGGTTTGGCCATCTAGTGAGAATGTAGCCGAACCAAACCGCATATGAGATTTTTACAGCAAAACATGTGGGAGGAAGGCAAGCGGAAGACCAAGAAAGAGATGGATAAAGGGTGTTGCTAAAACCTGATGAATAAATCCATCACCCAAACCACCTGAGAAGCGCCAAAAAAAAAAAAAAATCAGGATGCTGTGCTACAAGCTGGTATCAATGAAACGTCAAAACCACGACCCTGGGCTACAAACTGGTATCAATGAGAAGACAAAATCACCACATTGGGCTACAACCTGGTATCAATGAGTCGACAAAACCACTACACTGGGCTACAAGCTGGTATCAGTGAGACTACAAAACTACGACACTGGGCTACAAGCTGGTATCAGTGAGACGACAAAACCACGACACTGGGCTACAAGCTGGTATCAGTGAGACGACAAAATCATGACACTGGGCTACAAGCTGATATCAGTGAGACGACAAAACCACGACACTGGGCTACAAACTGATATCAGTGAGACGACAAAACCACGACACTGGGCTACAAACTGGTATCAGTGAGACGACAAAACCACGACGTTAGGCTAAAAGCTGGTATCAGTGAGACGACAAAACCACGACACTAGGCTACAAGCTGGTATCAGTAAGACGACGTAACCACGACGCTGGACTACAAGCTGGTATCAGTGAGACGACAAAACCACGACGCTGGGCTACAAGCTGGTATCAGTGAGATGACAAAACCATGACGCTTGGCTACAAACTGGTATCAGTGAGACGACAAACTAAGATGTGTAGGGGTATGTTATTGCGTTTTAAGTCCTTCAGGAAATCATACTTGTGCATATCAACATCTTAACGGGTTTTTTGTTTGTCATGTATTGATTTTCTTTTCATAAACGGTAGTTTTTCCTTTCATCTGCATTGCATTTGTATATTGTTATATAATGCGTAGGCGCATCGGGAGTCGCCGTGGCGTAGCGGCTAAGACGCTCGCGTGAGAAGCGGAAGGGCGTGGGTTCGCTCTCTGGCGGAGCCGGACTTTTTTAGAAAATGACCTAGACTCCCAGGTCGACTCCGCCTTGAGTGGGTACCTGGGTGCAGTCCTGGGAAGCAAAGGCAACCGGCGTGAGGCTGACCACATCACCCACCCTGTGCCGTTTGTTTCTTTTATAAATATAGATCTAGCCTTATATGCCCTAAAGGCCTAAAGGTGTGGAACAGGGTCATTTACTTTACATTTGCATCGGAACTTAGCAACTTTGGCAACTTAAGCCACCCCCCACCCCCCCCCCCCCCCCCCCCCACCCCGGAAGATATTATCGCTAAGCCGCTTCGCGACCCATAAATTATTACAGTGGCCAAGCAATGGCAAACTATTGAGCGTATAATTAAACAATGCAGCTGCAAGCAGAAAACAAATGTTTGGAGTGGTTTAAGATGTTCTGTCAAGAATATTTAAAAAACAAATTTTTACCTCTCCAAATTTGTATCCAGCAGGATTAACATCTCAAGGATGAGAATCAGACACCTACAAATCCCGGAAACAGAGATTGACTGTATTGTCTTTAAGGACTTCTATTTGGGCACCACTGAACGGTTACGAAGTAAGGTGTGGTCTAGTATAGGTAGGTTTGCAACGTTCTCTAAAGGATATGCAAGTAGTCTTTGTATATCTCATGGGCGACACAAGGCAACTGTTGTTGTTTAATTCCACCAGGATCGTACAACGAGTAACCAACACCCGGCGATACAAAGTGTCACCATTAGGGACAATAATCCCCAGGACACAAGTCTCAGAAATCCTATTCAACCCAATGGTTGGGTTATATTATGGCACCCGACTACAACCGAGGTGGGGGCTTTAAAAACAACATAACACTGCGTCCTATATTTGGATAGTTATCTACCCTAGGCAATTGCCTGTCTGTCGGTTAGCCCCACTAGGACATCACACCAAGCAATAAACACCCGGTGACACAAAGCGCCACCGAAAGCATGGGGATCACTCCGGTACAAATCCCAGAAACTCCGTTCAACTATTAGGTTTTATCAAGGCCCCCGACTAAAGCCTTATTGGGGCCTTAAAAAATAGCAGCGACAGAAAATTGTCTGTCTATCTATCTACTTTTACCCCACTAGGACATCACACAAGCGATAAACACCCGATGACACAAAGTGCCACCATGCGGATGAGGATCACCGTGGAGAGGTCCCAGAAACCGCATTCAGCCACTAGACCATTTTTATGACCTGGCTATATTGCGGCCCCTGGCAAGAGCCAGAGTAGGGCTTCAGATAACGAAAAATTGCATTTCACAAGGAGATGACTGGATAATAGTGTCTGTAACACTACGCAATTGAAAAAAAAAAAGAAGAAGACATTCGATTATAGTTTGTAATTTGTCTGTGGTGTGTAAGTTTTTACATACACAAAGTACGAATTCAAGGAATGAGATACAGACTTGGTGCAGCAAATATCAATAAAAAACTCAGCTATCGTTTCTGGCCAAAACGTTTAAGCTACTAGAGTCAAACATGAACTCTCCACCTTACTGTGCACGTTTGCAGACATAACATAATCATCATCATCAGGTGCCTTGCCGACTGGCGTGGGCGATCATGCCTCTCCATAATCCGCGATCTCCTGCAGCATGTATCAGTTCGTGTGCCGACACACCTCCATGCCATGCAACAAGACTGTCAAGCATCTTCTCTCGTTGTCTTCCTCTATCCCTCCTTCCACAGATCTTTCCAGTGGTCACAACATGTTCTATTTTCCCTCTTCTCATAACATGGCCGAAAAATGATGACTGTCTCCTTCTGATGTCAGTGATAAGTTGTCTTCGGTCTCCCGCCTCTTTTAAAACCTCTTGGTTGCTCTTTTTGGCTGTCCAAGGTATTCTAAGCATTCTTCTGTAAAACCACATCTCTGAGGCCTCCAAAAATTGTTTGGCCTGCCTACCGATTGTCCAGGATTCACATCCATATGGTTAAAATGGGATGTATGTAGCAAGCAAGAATTCTTTTCTAACTCTCAATGACAAGGATATATTGCACAAGATGTTTTTCATTTTATAAAATGCAGTTTTTGCCTGGCCCAATTCTGTTTCTTATTTCAGTTATGCATCTTCCATATGATGTTATCCATGTGCCAGATACTTAAATTTCTGTACTTGTCTTAAAATAACACCATTGACTTTTATTACACATTTAGGAATAATTTGTTTCTTTGATACCACCATTACTTCTGTCTTCCCATTATTCAAACTGAGGCCCATTCTTCCACTTTCTAACACCACAATGTCTATCATTTCCTGTAATTCTTTCTGACTTGTTGCTATCAAGACTGTGTCATCAGCATAACGTAAATTGTTTATATTGTGCCCACCAACCACGATTCATAATATATTCACTGTATATTGAAAACAAATCAGGTGAAAGTACACATCCTTGTCGTACGCCCCTCTTTATGCTTTGAAATGTACCTAAACAGTTGTTAATTCTTATAGCTGCTGTTTGCTGCCAATACATATTCTTTATTATTCTTAGATCTTTCCCATCAATGTTTAATTTTTCTAACAGTTTGATTACTTCTTCATGCTTCACACAGTCAAATGCTTTTGTATAGTCTATGAAGCATAAGTACAAATCAGTCTTTACTTCTATAGCTCTTTCTGACAATGTCTTTAGGATGTATATGGCATTGTTTGTACCTTTTCCTTCTACAAATCCACATTGTTCATCGCTGATTTCTGGTTTAATTTTGTTTCTTATTCTTCTCATAATTATTCTCAGTAAAATCTTAGTCATGTGACTCATAAGACTTATTGTGCGATGGTCTTCACATTTTAAAGTGCCTGGTTTCTTCGGCAGAGCTATAAATATGGATTTTAAAAGGTCATTTGGAATATACCCACTGTTATAAATATCATTTAAAAGTTTAGTTATTATTTCAATTCCAAAATTTCCCAGTGCTTCGATTTCTAACAGTGAGATGTTGTCTGGCCCGGGTGCTTTTCCTTTCTTCATATGATGTATTGCATCCTCAACTTCTGCAGTCATTATTGGTGGACCATCATTGTTGTTCTGCAGTTCTACGTCTGGTCTATTATCATCATACAATTCCCCTATATACTCTGTCCATCTGTTAATTATATTACTATGTCCCATTAATAAGTCATCATCCTTTGATATCAAACATCCAGTGCTGTTACGTGTCATCTTTCCTGTTAACATATTTATCTGTTGGTACATGGAATGTGAGTCTTTCCCGGGATTTTCCCCAATCTCTGTACACATTTGATTCAGCCAGGCTTCTTTAGCCACTTTGCATTTGTTCACTATTTCTTTTTGTATTCTAGAGTATTCTTCTTTATCATTCTTTTTCTTCCTTCTTTCATCCATCAACTGCAGAATTTCGGTTGACATCCATTCTTTTTTGCAAACTGTATGGGTTGGTGGGATTGTCTCTTTTGATGTCTGCTGAATTGACTCACGCAACATATCCCACTGTTCATCAATTGTTTGTATAATTTCCATTGCATTATACCGGTTTTGTACAGTGACGTTGTACTGTTCCTTAATTTCTTTATCCGTTCTAAGAATTCCTAAATTTAACTTGATGTTCTGTGGTGTTTTTCTAATGTTCTTTAGTTTTATTCTAATTTTTCCTACAACTGGAACATGGTCACTAAAGCAGTATGCCCCTGGTCTAGTTTTAGCTCCAACTAAGCTGCTCTGGAATCTTCTTGAAATCAAAATATAATCAATCTGATTGCGGACATTATCACCAGGACTTTTCCAAGTCCACAATCTTCGAGGATGGTGTTTAAACCAGGTGTTACCTATTATCATGCAGACATAAATAACGTGAAAAAAAATAAAGGGAGATGAACACTGAATGTACTATGTATTTGTATGTGTTGTCTTTCTCAATGAAAATTGACTCAAACGACTGGGTCCAGCCGGACTCCACATGTTAATGAGTGTTATAGGAATTGTTAGCTTATTTAGTCTATCGTTAAATTATTCTCACGAATTCATTAGATAACACCACCTTAATGGGTTTAATGGGTTTTAATGTTAATCTTAATCTAAGGCGATTGTAGAAATTAAATTATCTCAAAAGATTACGTTACTTTCTTCATATAAAATGGATTTTACTGTTGTCAAGTCTTGAGTCGTCCACATGCTTTTGCTGGGGGCCCTAAATATAGCCGGGCCTTAAATATGGCCTAATGGCTGAACGCGGTTTCTAGGACCTCTCAAAGGGTGATCCTTATCCGCATGGTGGCACTTTGTGTGACTGGGTGTTTATCGCTTGTGTGGTGTCCTAGTGGGGTACAGCTTACCAACCTACCCAGTCTACTGTTAGATAAGCAAATAATTATGACAACTGAATTAAAGTTTAAACAGTACCAAAATTAAATTAATATCATTAGGTTCAACAGTTTTAAATTATACTTGAAGATATCTATAATTAAATTATTTTAATGAATTCTAATTTTAAAGTAAACTTAATTATTTATGTAGTTTTCTTCATTGCAACAGGATACTAATTTAAATGAAGATTATTTTATATCTTTGATAATCTCTATCTCATTTTGTTCTTAATTTAAATTATTCCGAATGGGATATACATTTTTATTATCTTAAAAGATGTTATGATTAAATTGTTTGTAATAGTTTCTTAAGTTTTAATTGTTTCTGTAATTATAAAAACCTAGATGTTTGTATTTTTTACAGAATCCACAGTCAAGACTAACCAAGCGAACCAAGAAAGTAGGCATTGTTTGCAAGTATGGTACCGGATATGGCGCCTCGCTTAAAAAGACTGTCAAGAAGAAGGAGGTTACACAACACAGCATCTACACATGCCCCTTCTGTTGGAAGGAAGCCATGGAGAGAAAGGCTGTTGGCACTTGGAAATGCAACAGATGTTCTAAAACTGTGCCTGGGTTTACCCGACCACAGCTGCAGCCCAGGTACGAAGTGCCATTCGTCGTCTCAGAGAAATGAAGGAGATTTCGATTTCCTGATTATGCACATTTTAATAAGTTGCCGTTATTGTGGCATAAGAGTTCAAAACAAACAAATCTCATGGTTAAAATTGTTCAGGATCCTAGCCGCTGCTACAGAGCTTGTGCACAGTGCTGGACTACTTCTGACTCAGACTTGAATTAGAAGAAGAACGGAGCATTTACGGGTTACTACCCGTGTGCCATAATGGTGTTCCTTTGTTTAAACCTCAAACCTCTGTTTTTTCTATTTCATTGTTAGGTTTAATTTGGCTCTTTTTCTATTTGATTGTTGGGTTTAATTTGGCTCTTTTTCTATTTGATTGTTGGGTTTAATTTGGCTCATCTTCCAACTTGTGTTTTCTTCAAAATTCGCTATCTGTGTCTTGCGGGGTTGATTCCATTCCGTCACCTGCTTGGCTGGGTTGCTTCTATTCCGTCACCTGCTTGGCGGGGTTGTTTCTATTCCGTCAGCTGCTTGGCAGGGTTGCTTCTATTCCGTCACCTGCTTGGTGGGGTTGCTTCTATTCCGTCAGCTGCTTGGCGGGGTTGCTTCTATTCCGTCACCTGCTTGGCGGGGTTGCTTCTATTCCGTCAGCTGCTTGGCGGGGTTGCTTCTATTCCGTCAGCTGCTTGGCGGGGTTGTTTCTATTCCGTCAGCTGCTTGGCGGGGTTGCTTCTATTCCGTCACCTGCTTGGCGGGGTTGCTTCTATTCCGTCACCTGCTTGGCGGGGTTGTTTCTATTCCGTCAGCTGCTTGGCGGGGTTGCTTCTATTCCGTCACCTGCTTGGCGGGGTTGTTTCTATTCCGTCACCTGCTTGGCGGGGTTGCTTCTATTCTGTCAGCTCCTTGGCGGGGTTGCTTCTATTCCGTCACCTGCTTGGCGGGGTTGCTTCTATTCCGTCAGCTGCTTGGCGGGGTTGCTTCTATTCTGTCAGCTGCTTGGCGGGTTTGCTTCTATTCCGTCAGCTGCTTGGCGGGGTTGCTTTTATTCCGTCAGCTGCTCGGGGTTCTGTCTGAAGCTGCTATCTTTGGCGCTGCCCTGATTAGGACCTAATTCTGATAGGAACTACATCGGACTGTTGTGCATAGCTTGTCCTCTTGCTTGTTTCCCGCTGGCTGTAGCTTGTGAAAGGGTTTTTGGTTTGATCGGGCTGTCGGCTACCTCTACGTCTGAGTCGCTGGCTAGGTCTGAGGCTTCCATCTCATCTTCTGACTGGTTTTTTTTTTTTGAGCCACGTGGCTTGGTGGTTTTTCTCCATTACTGAGAATTTACATTGGTTGTTTTCACACTGGGAGCTAGTGGAGTTTAACCATTTCTTCAACGTCCTTATTTAAACAACCAAATTTGCACGCACAAAACAACCAGCCAAAGAAATTATTTTCTAAGTGGAACCAATTTTAATGTAGTGATATCGAACAGACTGCTCAGTGTAGAAAGCACACACACGCATACACACTCATACATACACACACACTAAATGTACATAACAAAGTGAATACGATTATAATTACACAAAATAGGTTTTGGAATGAGAAACCGATTGAGAAACAGATAAGAAAAAGACAAGCCGCCGTTCCCCCTCCCCCCCCCCCCCCCCCCAATTACCTTGATGTTGGTCATAACCTGAATTGCCCCTTTTGTGCATGTAGTAAATTCTAAATCTCTGGATTCTGGGTCATCTGAGGGGAAGGAGCCAACGGTATGTCTGTAAAACGGTTGTACATTCAATTTCTCTCTCCTTTGAGTGGACGAACAATGAAAACTTTCCATCGGAGAATACAGCTGGTGAACTCAAAGAAGAATTATGCAATAGCTAGTTCAGTCACTTCAAAGACATGTCGGCCGTCCCAATATCTGCTTCCAAATTAGAAAATGCTTTTTAAATGCAAAAAGAAATAAGTTAAAACAAACATTTAATAATTTGTATTGCTATCCGTTTATAAACGTAAATGCAAATTTGTTGTGGGGGAGGGGGAAGGGGCCTGGATATACCTTAACCAGAAAGATTGTACCTATGCTCGCATGCCTGAACAAACACACACATATATGCGCGCGTGAAGACACACAAGACACACACACACACACGCACGCACAAACTCATGCCTATGTGTATAAGCAAAAGTATCATGAAAACATATCAAACCAAGCGAAAATTAGCAGTAGTCGAAAAAACATTATTACAAAAACAAACGAGAAATTAGAGTTTTGGGGTAGAAAGCATTCATCAGCACATGACAAGACTAGGCAATGTTATATTTCCACCACGAATGCACACAATCACGTAAATGAGGTCTCTAAAAGTAAATTCCACATGCATTTCTGGTCAGTGAAAGCTTCAGGACCCGAATGAATACAAGAAACGAATACTAGCCAGATTATCATCCCTCTTGTGTGATGCAATTTTTCGTTATTTTAAAGTCCCACCCTGGCTGTTGCCGGGGCCAAATATGAACTAACGGTTTGAACATGACCTCTTCACGTGTGATCCTCATTCGAATGGTGGCACCTTGTGTCACCGGGTATTTATCGCTCTGTGTGATATCCCGGTGGAGTAAAACTTACTTACTACTAGCTAGAAACAAAGATGCGGAAGGTGAGAGTTGTAGCAAAAAAACAGAAATGAGAGATAAGCTTTGATGGACGTTAAGTCTCTTAGGCGATGTCATGATGTAAATTTAAATCTAGCGCTTGAATGTCCACAAGAAAGGAGGACCACCAGAAGGCATAAGGAAGGAAATAGTTTTAGGGAAAGGGGGGGGGGGGGGGTGGACAAAAAGCATAACCCTTTTAGCTGGTTGTCGCAATACCAGTCTAATTCCTGCTCAACATTGTGGGTTTGTAAACCCAGAATGCTGCTATACTTGTAGACATGCCGGTTTTGGTTGGATGTGACTTGAGCTCAAATATAACAGTAGCCGGCACAATATGTCTTTAGCTATGTCTGGGGAGGATACCAGCCTTATCACAGGAAGATAAAATTCAATCTGAAAACTGTATGTTATTGCAGAGCAGACCTGGCCCTTAGCGTTTGCAAGCAGCTGGTCTAGGAGAGGAGCTCCGACAGGCGTACAGATAGAGCACTGCACTTCTCATCTGGCAGGGGAGCTGCCTGGTCTCAAGGCATAGTGTCCACCTCGAGTGCTGGAGGTTCAATCCCGAGTGAGATCTGGGATTTTTTTACGTGGACTTGGACTTCTAGTAATTACCCCTGGTCTCTGGGTAGTGAGATCGGACGCCTGAATGCATTGTTGCACACGTAAAATAATACTTGAATTAGACGTAGAAAAGAGTAGCCTAAGTGCCCTGCCCGTGCAAAATTTGGAGTTAAAAATCTACCTAAAGTATTTCAGGATCCTCGCTGGTGAAACAGAACATGTGCACTGTGCTTAGCTTCTTCGGACTCACGACTTGAGTTAGAAGAAAAGGGAGCACTTATGGGTTACTACCCGCCTGCAATGATGTTGATCCGTTGTTCAAAACCTAAAAACCTCTTCTGAGCTGGCAGCTTCTGCACCTTCTTTGCTGTAAACCTACTACTGTAAGGGATAATGAAGCATAGGCAAAACATGGTCCAGGTTTATGGAGAGGAAGACCTAATGCCTAGCCTTAATTACACAAAGTAACACTTTCGTCGCGAAAGACGGAAATGTACCAACACACACAGCACTTGTGATCTCCTGAAGCATGCAGCCTATTGTATGTCTATAGGCTAGTGGTCCTATATCAATCACATGCCTATACCTCGGAAGGCTGTATCTCATCTGAGGAAGTTCCGGGCTTGTTATGTCTTGGCGTGTTATGACCACAACCTTGGTAAAATGTTAATGCTACACCAGAGAGCCAGAAGAGATCAAGCCATTATAGCACCTAGCCTACAGCCAGTTTTCCACCTTACCATAACAATTACACAGAATTAATTTTAGCAGCAAACTGAGAGACCCTTTGTCGCCTTCTCATTGTTGTATATAATGTTCGATTTCTTTAGCCATTTCCAAGCAATCATTGTTAGTTATTCTGGCAGTCCAAGGCATTCGAAACATTTTTCTCAAGAGCCACATCCAAGTTGCCTCCAAACTCTTTTTAATTTGTTTGTTCCCATTATAAGATTCACTGTCATACAACATAACAGGCTCGATATAACATTTCAATACTCGTTTTCTGATGTTTAATGAGAGTGATTTATAACGCCACTTCACAGATTAGAAATGCTAGCGGACCTTACAGAGAATCCTAACAAGCAGGGAATGATAAGAACTGGTAACATTTCAAAAGCACAGTCAAATCGTTTCCTCTCGTTTCGTCACTGTTCTGCAAGCGCTCCTGTAACTTAGTAACAGACCAACATATGCTCACGCTAAGATGGGCAGATATCACTTGTTCAATGGTTCATACAGTTATAAACTTGATTAAATTGGCACAAAAATCACACATGAAATAAACACTTCATGTGAATTGGTAATTGTGTATGTTTAAACTACTTATTCAATTTAAATTAAACATTAGTGACATCCAACTGAAATACTGTAATGTATCTCTTGAAACATATCAAGGCAGGCTAATGTTTGTTATCTAACTATTGAAAACATGAGTCCTGAAAACTAAAGCACACAATAAGGTACCTCAGATTTAATAAATTGTAGAGCCTCACTAATTCTAAAAATAATAGTAAAATATGATATGTCTGATTACTCTATTATTTTGAAATAGAAGCATAACTATTCATACCAAAAAACTAGTTTCCTGAATACGTCTCAAGACGTACACATTATGTATTTATGAAAAAAAAAACCAGCAACCTTTCTATGCATTCATATGAAAGTTAGTGTGAATGTGTGTTTCAGCAATAGGATCTGTCAATGACTTTAACGTTCTTCGTGAACTTACATATATATATATATAAATATTGTTAGTGGGTGTCTTTATGTTATATTATATGCCTAGCTTTTTTACAAAATAAGAATCCATGTGTCTGTGTGTGTATCTGTAGGTTAATTAACAAAAACGACACGGATGACGCAAATATAACCACCACAAGCTTTTGTCTCATCACTGTGCCACAGGAAGATCAGTAAAGGAACCGCCGTAATTCCTCCCACAGTCAACACGAATCAACTCTCCGGTGATACAACCTGCTGCATCTGATGCCAAAAACGATACTGCCTCGGCCACATCTTCAACCGTCAAACGTCTGCCTCTCAGTGGCTGTCTATCATCGCCAACCTTTCCTAATGTCCCAGCAACTGTATCACCAGTCCCTCTAAAATCCCTTCCAATATTTGTTGGAATATATCCAGCATTTACTGAGTTGACTCGGATGCCTTTGGGCCCCAGATCTACAGCCAAAGAACGGGTCAGATGATCAAGACCTGCTTTACTGATTGAATATATAGTTAAGGCTGTGAGAATGGCCGAAGTTGTGTTTGAAGATATGTTGACGATATTCCCTTGAGAGTTTTCTAAATGTGGTATGGCTTGTTGAATAAGAAAAAACACAGACTTCAAGTTGGTATCCATGTGTTTATTGTAGGATTCTTCAGTTGCAGTTTGCACAGTCTGAAGAAAAGATGAGATTCCAGCATTGGCAACCAAAATATCCAGCCGACCAAAGGCTTCCACAGTCTTATCAATGATTTCTTTCTGGACTTTAGCATCGTTTATGTCACCTTGAACGGTTATGAACTTATCCTGGTGTCCGCCACTGAGTGTCACAACCTTTTCCAGAACTGACCTGAGACTATCCTGGTCCCGACCACAGAGAGTGACCTTAGCACCTCTAGATGCGAACATGACTGCGATGGCTTCTCCTATTCCGGAACTGGAGCCTGTTACTATAGCAACCTTGTCTTGAAACAGACCCGCCATGTTGTCACTGCAGTATACCAGTTTCTGTATCAATATAGAACAAACGTCAGGAGTCTATGCACAGAAATGCTAAAATATCAAGTGACAGAACTCAATCGACAGGGGTTCTCACATAACGGGGACTGATTTGCTTGCTGTCACTTATGTATATTTCAAACTAATAGCAGATGTGCAATTGCCGGGTGAGGTGATGGGAAAGGGGAAAAAGGGGGGGGGGGGGGGGGGGTTACAAAAGTACGGTGTTCAGCTGTGGTAATATTTGGTTTAGTGCGGAAAAACATGTGAAGAAACATACCCTACTGTTCAAAGATCATATTTTCATCATCATCTTCATCATAGTCATCATCATCATCATCATCATCATCATGATCGTCATTATCATCATCACGTTGTGCCATTACATGTCACGTAGTCATTACCTCTGTTCCGTATCAAATGTTTAGATGAGCACAGTTAAAAAACAAATATTGTTTAATCTTCAGGTGTTTAGAAAATGGGGGAAAAACCAATGAAATAAAAAGTGTTTTTTTCTCCCAAGCAGTGAATGTTGTTACGAATAATAATAATTATTAATATAAAAAAAAATAAAAACAGACGAAGAAAAACTATTGTTTTAGAATCAGAAAATTGTGCAACCAGTTTTATTTATATAAAACAGTTAGATTGTAAATATGTTTGTTAAATTAGGCACACAACCATTTTAATGACGACACTAGGCAAACCAGTGTGCTGGGGCCCCTACGTCAACAACTTACAGGAATTACATTTTTACTCATGGTAAGTCAATTGACATACACAGATTGGCATCGGGCCCCTATTTTCATAGGTCCTTAGGCAAGAGGTTCGCTCCCTGGCGGAACCGGACTTTTTTTCGAAAATGATTTTGACTCCCAGGTCGACCCAGCCCTGAGTGGGTACCAGGTGCAGTCCCTGGAAGTAAAGGTGGCCGGCGTGATGCTGACCCCATCACCCACCTTGTGCCGATTGGTCTCTAGAAATGTAGGTCTAGCCCTATATGCCCTAATGCCTAAAGGCGTGGAAAGGGGACCTTTATTTTTTTTCTAGACGAGAGCCCACTGGGCAATGCTTTGAAACGGAATAAATTTGTAAAGTATTTGTAAGAATACTGCCCATCGTGTATTACTTATAGATTGAATACTCCTTTTAAAAAAAAATAAAATCACTGACTTGGGAAATTGGAGTTTGAATGCTCGGTATGGTGATGTATATTTTATGTGTGTCGGATGAAAAAATAACCAAGCTAATCTGAACATTCGTGTCAGTTGCAGCCTGATTACTAGTCTACCTATCCTGGTGGTTAGTAGGTGCTTTGTTAGACATCAAAATGAAACATCGTCCCGTTCAAATAGCATCCCCGAAGGGAGAACCTTAGGTTATAATTGTGGCTAGGTTATGTGCACCATATAAAATGGCTTGGCATAACAGGCTATCAAGACCTCTGAAAAGGATTCCTGCAGTGTTGATGTTATCAAAGGAGCCCGGCCATAATACTGTCGAAGTCGTTTACTGGCGAGCCAGTGTGCTACGCTGTCGACAATGCCACATATCTTTTCTCTTGCGCATTTCAAGCGACACAGAGCACTGATCTCTTTATGCTAAATAATCCTAGCGAGGTATGAATCCTCTATGGATAAAGTAGCTTTCCTCCATGGGGAGTTGCAGCAACTAATCCATCTACCTGCCTATTACCCCCGCACACCTGAAATCTGCTTGACAGTATGACAGCTTTTCGTTGTCCACTGAAAAGGGTAGAGCACGCGTGGGATTGTCCCAGGTGAAATGATGCTCATTCATTCATTCATTCATTCATTCATTCATTCATTCATTCATTCATTCATTCAGTAACATAGGTTAGTTGCGTATCCTTTACAGGACGTTGCAGAACCAACCAACGAATTATGTATAAAAAAAACATGCAGAGCATGCAAAGATGTTTGTTTCAAAAAATATTTAAAAAAAAAAAAAAAAAAAAAAAAAAAACAATGGAATGAAGAAAGCAAATTAAATGTATTAAGTTTATAGTAATAGTATATTTTCAACCCTCTCGTACCGATTTCCGCAGACCTCTACTAGGGTATAAAGATGTGTGCTAGCGGGACATGAATGATACAGGTATTGAGGTGGACTCATGGAAAAAAAATGCCATTTATCGTGTTGTTTGGATAGGGCATACCAGGAAGGGAATGGGCGTGAAAGAAGAAATGATTGCACAACAGATTAGAGCTGAGCGTCTGAGAAGAAACGGATTAAAAACACAAATGTTGACAACAATGGTCCTGAAATTCCATGCTTTCATTGTGGAAGACTTTTCTTGAGACCGGCGGGTCTTGCTAGTCAACCTCGCCATCGCCTTGGTAAGTCCCATGCCTCCACATAGCACAACATACCACCCACTATCGTCTGGAAAGACGGAAAAATGCCAGTCATTTCAGCTTGTATCGATGTGAGACCCCCCCCCCCCCTCTTTTCCCCTCCCCCTTTTTCCTGTTTAACGTGTTTCCAACTTTTTATTAATGATGGGAGTGGGGGGGTATGTAAGTACGTAAGTAAGTTGTACCCCACCAGGACATCACACGAAAACGATAAACACCCGGTGAAACAAAGTGGCACCATGCGGATGAGGATCACCCGTGGAGAGCTCCAGAAAACCTGGTTCAATCTTTCGGTTATATTAGGACCCCTGAAATAGCCAGGATGTGCTTCAAAATAACGAAAGATTGCACCCCACAAGAGGATGACAATGATTGTGTAATTATTGACTTGGGGATATGCGAAAAGTGAATAGCCTCTGCGTTACCACAACTTAGGCAATTACATTGAACATACCAGTTTGTAATTTTGCAATATCTACTCTCATCGTCAAAATCTGGAAAGGCTAACACGGACAACAAACGTAGGAGGAAGTCGGATGTGTGGGTAAAAAGGCGAAAATGTCGCTACTCTGCGGTAAACGGTCAAAACGGAGCTACACCCTTGGACGAACAAAAACAAACATAGAACGAAAAAAAAAGACAAGTGATAAAAGCGTACACCATACTTTGGAAAAAAAAGCCGTTGATTAAAAAAAAAACTATAACCGTCAGCGAAAGATGAAAATATCGCAGGTGTGCCGTAAAAAAAAGTCAAATGGAATGATATCTCCTAACAAATAAGGAAGCAAATAACTAGAAAATGAATACACGTGGTAAAAACATAAAAAAAATATGTAGATACACCAGCTGTTGATGACACGCTGAATTGAGATGAGTTAATAACCGACACTATAACACTTAGAATATTCGCATATGTGGTCCGTCCTCATCTTCAGCACAATAGCAGAATTTAAATTCATGTGGTCCCAGTTGCAGTTCGAGTGTATCTCCGTATCGTATTTCCATTGACTGCTAATGTGTTAGTCAGATCCCCTGGCCACTTCCGGCTGCAGAATTATCTTCATATCAAATTAATGTATTTGCAGTCACTGCCCCCATTCCATTCTCAAACCTAATGTTGCAGTATCATATACCCCACACTATACTAGCTAGGCAACGTCCATGCATGTAATTTACCTCTCCAAAAAGAGACAATGATGACATATAAAACAACAAACTTCGGCATGAAAACGTATATGTTATAAAAGCCATCATAGGAAGCAAATAGCAATTTACACTGCAACATTTGCATGTTTTTTAGAGGACTCATTCGAGTGTTGGCATATAATTGGCTAATTCTTCTTCTGGGTTATCTGGGTAAAGATATGACACCTCTTAATTCAGGACAAGCCCAGATTAGCTTCGCCTCCCTCTTCAACAGAGAGCGAATAGTCTGCATGTAATATAAAGTAGCTCAGTCATATCAGTTTAAAACTAAAACCAACTAACTTACTGGAACAGTATATATTCTGTCATCCATACAAAGAAACAATATTCCTGTTGTTGGAAAATGAACCAGTATCTTATATATCCGACTTTCCCCCCGCCATTACATAAGACACCAAGCTTACTGGGAAGACAGTCTCAACATAAGAAGAAAGATAATCAAATGTCATTCAAAGACTCGCTATAATATAAGAAAAAAATGTATGGAACATACCGAGGAGCAAGTACAAAAAAATATGAAGGTTAGCCTCCACCCGAGCAGGTAGGCATATAAATGAATATACCTTTATCGCTAGGGCTGTAACAGCGAAAACGAACTCCTGGAAAATGTACAGTGATCAAAGCATGGACAGCAAATAACACACACAGAAATTAGAAGCATTCTCTGTTTAAAAAAATTTTAAACATTCCCTCCAAAATTTGGACACATGTGTTCACAGATGGTGTTGGTAAAGAAGCCAGAAGCCATTACATTCATGCAATGTGCTAGTTTTTACTTCCACTGGCTGTTGTATAGGAGATGATGTGTACAGTAAATGCTCCTAGCACACATTGTACGATGACATAACTGGGACAGACACCGACTTAGCAGTACGATACATCAGTTTATTGACATCTTATCACTTACGTAAACGTCCTGTCCGTGTCCTGATATACAGCTTGCACACGCCACATTACTCAGACTCCAACATACCGGTTTCTCACAGTCACTGACCAGAGTTCGCACAGATGGATCTGGTTCTTCTCCCCGGGTTCATACAGACTGGCCTGGCTGGTCTTGGCTTCAATGAATGTCGTCGTCTGATCTTCCTCTCACGGCAATCATTCTCACGTTGTCTTTCTCTCGATCACTCTCCTGTCCTTTCACTCCGACAGTCAACACATACTACTCATACTAACTGGGGTCTGAACCTATACCCAGTGTTCGTTCCACGTGGCAACACGTGGTTGTTTTTGGGATTCACGTGGCGACCTGTGGTCGTTCTCCTTTACTTCCACGTGATAACTCGTGGTCGTCCCCTATTTTGAAAACCTCGTTTAATCCGACTATCTGACTTCTATCGGTATTATTGGTAACTTGGGGCTTTCCCCCAAACCTTCCCAATGAGGGTGAAAATATTA